TTCACCTCTGCCTTGCACGTGGACGTCTAAGCTGTAAAACAACACAGTGGTAGATAGAATTTGGTCCAGCACTTAAGAACAATGAATGACATAGCTGAGCATCTACATCTTGTGGTTCCTAACCTTTATACTATAACAGACTAAGTGCTAGTCAATAAACTTTTTATTTTAAGAACTACCTTCCCTCTGTAACTTGATTTGTGCCACTGTTAGAATTTGTACTTGGAATATTATTGCTTTTAATTTTTTACTCATGTACTTTTAATGTATTAGTTAATTTTGTGTCTTCTAGGCTATAGCTGTTCCATGATGCATCTTCAAGGATATGAACATGTTTGGCTCAGCACAATTGATAACAGTGCATCTAAATTGCAAAATCAATCTCCACAATAGTCTACATGTTTCCTATTACCACAGGGGCCCTTTGGAGTAGTGAGAGAAGATCTTCACCCTGAAACCTGCAGGGTCCCTTTTCAGAAGGAAGTAGCTAAGAAAATACGCAGTCCCCTTTTCCTTATGAATCAGGGTGAAATCTCTCTGAGGGAGGAGTGATAGGGAATGGCAAAGACACACTGACAAAGGAGGTTAATCAGAACTGGTTTTGACAAGCACTGTGGCAATGAGTCAATTAAAACAGACTTTCAAGGAACACTCAACCTGAATTCTTCTGGTCGGATGAAAATTTTTGAAAGTATTTCTTTGGGTTTATTATGTTTTATTTGTTTGTATATAAAGGATGCTCATCTAGATGATAACATAATTATGATAAAAACAAAAGGGAGAAATATGGGAAGCCAATACTAAATACTTGTAATAAACTGAATGCTATTAAAAAATGCATAAAATGACCTTAAAAAAATGTGATACATTCACACCATTTAACGTAATGTTTATTGATATTTTTTATAAAATCGAGGTTCTTTCTTGATGCATTGTGGTAAATAACATTTGAATGAAAACTCATTCAAGGACAACGATCTGCTGCCTTTTCATCTTCAGCTGAATTTTCCAAACTTTCCAAATGGATTCTATTTGTTGTTTTTCATTAATAAATTAATGAATTATCAAAATTGGAAAAGAATATAAAATTCTACTTTTCCACTTTTGTTTTCAAATGGCAAATAAGAAACATTAAAGTGTATCTCAGACAGACAATTATTATAGACAATTATTAATTTATTTTATTAATCGACAGAGAACACTGGAGATCAACACTGAAAATGCCTACTTTTGAAACTAGTTACGAGCTTTGATACACTTAATGGAAAGCAAAATATCATTCAAGAACAATAAAAAAAATCAGCACTTAACTGAGCAGTTAGAGAGAAAGAAGTTAAAAGATAAACAAGACATTAAGAGAGATCACAACATAAGAAAAGAGATGTTCAGAAATAAGATGTTAATTAAAGTATTAGCCAGACCTTATTTGAGTATACTAAATATCTTCAAGTGGTTGTATGCTGTCAAGACAGAACTGAACCATGGCTGACCCTCCAGCTCTTTTTCAGAGGCAGTAAATTGCAAGGGAGTAGATTGCCCATCTTTTTTCCCTAAGGAACATCTAGTGCTTGAACTGTATATCTTTGGAATTACAGCATAACCTCTTACCATTAGGCCATAAGAAATTCTTAGAACCTTTTTAAAGTAAAAGCTTAGAGTTATTTTCTCCCCCAAATTTGACAGTTCAAATCCACACAGTGGTATCGTAGGAAAAATTATTAGAAAAATGAATGTTTTCTGTTTGTCTCCATGTAAAAATATTGTTAGTACAGTTGATATTTCTTCTTCAAATCTTTATTTTAACAGATTTATCATTCTTTTCACACTTGACATTTGCAAGTGACCTGAATTTTTGTACATGCATGGTAGGGTTTTGGCTTTGCTTTCTTGCTAATTGGTGACTAATTGCCTCAAAGATTACATACTGAAAAATCTATATTATGCATTTTTATAATTAATACTATTATTATTACTGTTTTACCTTATTTCATATCAATTTTTACAGATTTTGAAGCTACCAACAGATCTCTCTCTTTTTTCCTCCGTTTATCTCTCATTCCTGGAAGCACAGTAAATTTCCACCATGAAACTTCCCCTGAACTTACAAACTCATATAAATGCTAACTCATTTTAGTACAAATTTCCAAATGAGTAAGTAATGTAAGCAATAATAAAAACCTAATTGAGACAAATATTTAATTTCCCATAAATAAATAAATTTAATAAAACACAAAACCCTGACTCACAAAAAAAAAAAACTAACAAGTATCTTAACTTGTGGTGACCACCTGGATCTCCTTAATGATAGCAAGGAGGAAACATCAGACCTCTTTTTTCCAGGACTTTAAAGTTGACCACCTGAGACCTCTTAATGAAGAAGTGAGAGACATGCAAAAATGAAGAGAGAGGCTAAGTTTAGACTTGTTCCTAGTATGATGAATAGATCAATGAGGACGGCTTGCTAGTATGGAGAGCAGAAAGTCCTAAGAATCCCTGATGTGCTGACTTGCCCCATGTAGGGCTAAAGTTGAATGAGGGGACCAGCCAGTCTGAAATAAGATGTGTAAACATGTGAGTTGGCCGCTGATGCTGATTTAGACCTAGGTACAAATGGCTGAGGATGTTTTGACCAGAAGCCAACCAGATGAAGAGAAGATGTTTTATTCTGAGAGTTGATGTTAATAGCTGTGACCTGAAGATTTGTTTCCTGCTCTGAGATGGTGAGGGGCTATGTTATACTCATTCTCTTTGGCCCTTTCAGAGAAACACATCATGCCTCTTTGTCTACATTTCTAGTTTTCCCTTCTCTAGATAAATCCAAACACTTCAAAAATTGTTTTTTAAATTATCAGTTCTGACAAAATGACAAGTGAAATTAAGCCCTGAAATTTTATTTTGTTTTCTTTCTTTTTTAAATTGTTCTAAGTTTATCTTAAAACAAAATTTCAGATTTACTGAGGTTTCTTTTAAACTTCACTGATTTTTCTTTGCAAAATGTTCTCTGATCCTCCTTTAGTTGATTTTTGTGTGTGGTGTGAAATGTGATTCTTGTTTTCATTTTCTGTAGGAAAATGCCTAATTTTGTGAACATTGTTGAAGAGTTTGTCATTTCACCATTTGATAGGTTTTTATTCCTTGTAAAATACCAATTAATCATAGGGAGGTGGGGTAATTTCTGGGTAAAACTCCAAGCCATAAGTATCATACAGAAAAAATGCAACCAAACTTAGAACCCTTAGTCTATGGCATAAATAGGCCAACAAATACAACCAGGAGACTATACATTGAAAGTTGAGATGTTCTAAAAGTTAACTTCCTGTATGCATAGAATTTTTTTTTTTCTCAATAGAAGAGAGAAAACTAGGGACTGAGAAGAAAATAAAATTAGTGATGAAATTTTAGACAAGGGTCTCATAATGAATGTTTTCAGAATACTGCTGGGCCTCCACAAGAAAAAGATTGATATACCAATCACAAAATGGGCAAAGGACATGGAAAGACTTTTAAAAAGAAGGTACTTGTGTTACTGAACACAAGGGTTCTTTCTGTAGTCAGTCGCCAATAAGACAAACGGAATCACTTGGATGGCAAATAAACACATGATGAAATCACTAAAATCATTGGTAATCAAGAGATGCAAATCAAAACAACAATAAACTACTATCTTACCCCAGTAGCAGTAGAAAGTTTAACAGGGTAGTAAGAAAGAAATACTGGAGAGGATATGGAGTGATTGGACTCTCATGCACTGCTGATGGGATTGTAAAATGGTGCAGTGACTCTGGAAGGCAGTTTACTGTTTGTTCAAAAAGCTGAATACAGAAATCCCATTTTGTTGTCATGTGCCATCAAGTCGTGAGCAACCCTACACACTATACCTCTGAATTCTATCCAATCTTGAGCCATTCTCGCTGCCTCTGAAACACCTGCTCTTATTATCCCAGTGACTGTGTTAATCCATCTCACATTATCCCTCCACCCTTCCAAACATGAAGTCCTTCTACCAGAGCTGATCTCTCCTGTCAACATGCCCATAGTGTCAGATGGAGCTTCAAAATCCCTGCCTCCAAGAAGCAACTAGATTTCATCCTCTCCACAACAGATCTATTTGTTCTCTAGACAGGCTATAGTATGTTCAAGGCTCTTCTCCAGCACTACTATTAAAAGGCATCAATTCTTCTTATGTCCCTTTAGCCATTGTCTAGTTCCCTGATGTGCAGCAAGTAATTGCAAAGAACAAGGCCCGGATTAGGCACACATTAGTCTTTAGACTGAAATAATTATCTTTAGCACTCTGGAGAGGTCCTTGATAACAGATTTCCCTAATGCAATTCACACTTTGAAGCCATAAGATGCTACTATTCCTCTGCTAGGAATATACCCCAGGGAAATTAAAACAGAGACGCAAACAGTGGTATGTACCCCTTTGTTCATAGCATTACTTACAATAACAAGAAAACAGAAACAGCCCAAATACCATCAACAAACAAGTGGATTGAGAAATTGTGATATATTCACACAACAGCATTTACAGTACTAAGGAAGAGTGATTTTATAAAATACTAACATGAGAGAGTATAGAGAGCATTATGCTACGTGAACTCAGTCTCATAAAGACAAATACTGAGTAAAATAATTATTATAAAAATAGAAGAAAAACTAGTGATATATGTATAAATGTCCAAGAAAAGATGGAAACTACTAAGATAACAGAGTTTAGTGAGCAGATAGGGAGGCGAAGGAGTAGGAGAGATTCAATAGAGACTCAGAAAGATGGGCAAAGATCAACATGAATGATTCTAAGAAACACAATGTAAATGAAAAAATTGCATAAAACACAATGAACATGAATGAGACATGATATGTTTATGAATTGTAGCATGCAGACTAATAAAAAAATACTACTTATAAAATAAAAGCTCTCTGACATAATGGACATTTTAGGTTCATTGTAATTTATGCTTATTTATGCCTATATTACAAGTAAATAGAGAACTCACATGAAGTCCTTCAGTGAAACTTTCCTGGGAGCAGTGGCATCTATACGGCTGGCTTGTTGTATCGCAGGTCTGAGCGTGGCCAGAGCACTGACACCTATGAATATAGCAAGTCAGGAAAAATACCATATCAATAACAAAAATGTTTCTCAAGCTTACTCTGTGCCTTTAAATTGGAATTGACTTCTTTCTGTTTATGCCTGATTTTTACTACATTTTGTTTATCCATTCAAAAGTAAATAAACATTTTGACTGTTTTGAATCATGCTCTTTTAAATGTTGGTATGCAAATATCTTTTTGAGTCTTTGATTTAAATTTTCCTAGATGTGTACCAAAGGGAGAGCTCACCAAGAAGGTAGCTCTTCCCCAGTTATATTTTGGGTGCCTTCAAGCACGAGGTCAGTTAGTTTGCTGTCATTCAAAGACTAACTTTTCACTGACCAATTGGTTTTCACAGGAAACTTCCTATCTTTCCCCCAGGGAGCCCCTGGTGGATAGAAACCACCAAAAGCCACTGCATTTGTGTTTGTAGCACAACTCTGTATGGACTCCACCACCAAGTTCCCGTGAGAATATTTAAGATCTATACACACTCTGAAGACAAAACAAATGTGAAAATTTTATCTGAAAAAGGAGAAAAAAATCTTTAATCATGTAAATATTCAGAAAAGTTTTGAATTAATTTTGATGCACTAGAATACATGATATAAAATGTCAATGAAAATTACTGCATATAATATTTCACAATACTGGAAAGATTTATTAAAAATGTTATGGGTTTATACAGAATTTGTCCTTGTAGAATGGAGATAGTTCACTCAACGTAATGCTCTCCAGTCCTTCTCAAGTCAGGTAGTAATTTACAAAATCATCGCTCCTGTGTGCTGTGTAGTATTCCACTGTATGAGTGCACCACTACTTCTCAATCCATTTATTTGTGGTTGGACATGTGGACTGTTTCCATGTTCTTGTTATAGTAAATAATGCTACTATGATCATTGGTTTACAAGTCTTCATTTGAGCTTCAGTTCTCATTTCCTTGGGGTATATCCCAAGCAATGAAATAGCTGGGTCATATTGAATTTCTATGTTCAGCTTTTTGAGGAAGCAGCAAACTGCCTTCCAGAGTAGTTGCACCATTGTACAATGCCACCAACAATGTATGAGTTCCTCTCCTTGTAGAATGAATATGAGGACCCGAGGTGGGAGGTGGAAGCAGAGGGGTGAGGTTGGGCAGGGTGGGGTGTGGCATATTAATCACAGGGTTGCATAATTTGATGGGGGTGTTGAAAGAAATGGGAAGGATCTTTTGTGAAAAAAATGTATTACGTAAATAAATCAGTATTAACATTTTTTTACGGTTTTAAATATCCAATAGTCCATAGGGATTTGTACTACTAACACAAAAGCAATACATCTCTGGAAAACAAGGGGAATAGAGGATATTCATTTATACCTGTGTCAACCAACCACTGTACGTCTGACAACTTGTTATACTATGGTGGCTTGCATGTTATTATTTGACAAGAAGCAATACCACCAATATTTCAAGTACAAACAATGTGACTACAAGAGAGTAGGGAGAAACATTTATGATCTGTTTCCACAAAAATTGATCAGTGAAAACCAACTGGTCAGTGAAAAGTTAGTCTTTGAATAACAGCAAACTAACTGACCTAGTGCTTCAAGGCACCCAAAATATAACTGGGGAAGAGCTACCTTCTCAAAATCTTGTAGAAGGCAGTGATTTGAAAACATGAAGCTTGGTGAGCCTTCCCTTTGGTACACATCTAGGAAAATTTAAATCAAAGACTCAAAAAGATATTTGCATACCAACATTTAAAAGAGCATGATTCAAAACATTCAAACTGCTTATTTACATTTGAATGGATAAACAAAATGTAGTAAAAATCAGCCATAAACAGAAAGAAGTTATATTACATACTGCAACATTGAAAGCATAATCCTAAACAAAATATTCTACACAGAAAAGGACAAGAAAAACACTTACAGGCATAGTGTAAAAATAAAGGAAGGAGCAAAAGAAATTGGAGAATTGTTGCTTAATGAGTATAGGGTGTCAATTTGGAGTAACTTGATGGCACATAACAACAACAACAACATTTGGGGTGATTTAAAAAGTTTTGGAAATAAATAATGATAATTTTAACATATTGGATATAATTAATGCCATTGAAAAACACACTTAAAAATAGAATATACAAAAATTCACTCCACATACATTTAACCATAATAAAATATTAAATCACCACAAACAGCTGAACACAGAAATCTAGCCTGCTCTAAAATCTTAATGTATTTCTAAATGATTTTGGCAAATGTTAAAGCACTTACAACACAAAGATCTACAGTCTTCAATATAGATAACATCTTAACATCAAGGCAAAAAATGAAGTAATCGACCTTTAGCAACATCTTGATAACTCGAGAAATGATTGAAATGGTCAATAATTTCATTTTACTTGGATCTGCAATCAAAACCTATAGTAGCAGCAGTTAAGAAATCAGGAGACATGTGGCATTGAGAAAATCTCCAATCAAGGATCTCTTTAAAGTTCTAAAGAAAGATCAAGAATGTCAGTTTAAAGATTAAGAAGCAGGTAACCCCAAAACCAAACCATGGATGTCCCTATGCTTCATGTGGATATGAAAGTTAGACAATGAGTAAGAAAAATAAAAAATGAACCAACACTTTTGAATTTATGGTATTGGTGAAGAATACAGTTCTTGGTACATTTAATATTCTTTACCAATATATAAATTCAAAAGTGTTGATTCATCTTTGCTTTATCCTACAGGAAGTACAATCAGGGTGCTTCTTCGAAGCTAACATTGTGAGACTTCAGTGCTCATATTTTGGAAAGTTGCCAGAAGCACCAGCCCTTGGGGAGAAAACCCATAATGTTGATAAATGTAGAGGGTCAGTGCATGGGAAACCAAACTTTATACCAAACATTATATGAAAACCCTTGTTCAGGAACTGAAGGAATTACAGATTTATGTTAGGATTTCTCTTGTGGCAGATCCTAGAAAATGAGCTGTTTGTTCCCTGCAGACAGGAGACAGCAAGGGGCCCCCTACAGAGGGAGTGTTACTTCCTGAGCTAGAGTTCACCCAGAGACATCAAGGCAATCTTTAAGGGTATACCAAATTCTTGACTTTGTGAACCCCTCCCTCTTGAGTCAAGCAGAAGGTTTTCAATAGAAAAGCTTGGCTTCATTTGCATTGAATTTTCTTTGTGATTTACTTCCAGATAGTTTTCAATAAAGATACAGAGAAGCTTGGCTTGGGGTCTTCAGTCAAGAACTGCTGGCCCCCTGTTTTATGCTCTCTGCTCTATCTCATTCCTGGCAGTATGTCTCATTATTAATAATTGTAAAATTACTTTACCCTTGGTCTGAAACATCAGTGAAAGACAGAAAGACTCTTCTTGAGACAGACTGACATAGGAGCTGCAATAGTGGGCTTGAGTGTGACAGAGATTGTGAGGATGGCACAGATTAAGCAAAGTTTTGAGTTATTTTTTCACAGGGTCACTATGAGTCAATTCTAAAACACCTGGAAAAAACTGTGAGGACCACATTCCATTGCAACCTTAAGAATGAACCTACCTCCCACTGATAGTGATTTCATCCACTGCATAATATCTGTGTTTGGAGTTGACAGCCATCTCAGTTGTATAATATTGTCCACTGAAATGAAATTTTATTTGAGTAGCTTTTACAAACTCTTGAAGAGAAGGAGTGTTGTAGAAGTTATTGTATCCAGGACGATGATTTGGTCCAGGTGTCAGGATGCTGAATGTAACATTACCATGAGAATATGGAGTGAAACTGTTGATAACAGAAATTTGAAATAATGAATGTCTAGTAACATCTTTGTAGAGTAGAAACCATGACTTTAAGCCTTAACTATATAAGAACAGTAACAGTTTAAACTTCTCACATCACATTAAGCAAAGTCTCTGTATCCCAGAAGCTAAAAATATAGAATAACAAAAGACATTTTATGACATTTCCTTGATGATATAATGAATAATCTATCCATATATACAATAATGTGTTAAACATCTGAAAATCAAACTGTAAAGCAACAGTGAGACTGCAACAACAAAACAGTCAAGGCCTATAAAAGAAGTTGTAAGATAGGACTTTAAGAGGAAACTCAAAAGAACATATTTAGGAAAGTTTACTGTGAAATGAGTGAGCTAGTCTAGTAAGATAGCTTACATATAAGTTACTGATAAATCATTTATCTAAAATTAACACCTGAATGCCTAAAAAAAATAATTTTAAAACATTCATACTTGGGAAGCTGGAGACAGTTGACAGAATCAGGATTTTCCAAATCTCCATTGTTCCTCATTCCAAAAACACTACAATTTCGAGCAAAATACTGCCAGTCCTCCCAATCTAGACTGTCCTCTTTCTTCCTTTGAATCCTTATGGCTGTTGGCATTGGGCTAAAAAACTGAATGATAATGTAGAATACCTGAAAATGGATAAGTTAATTATGCCAATTGAAGTTTTATATTAACCAATTCAAATGCAATAGTACATTTCCTCATAATCATAATCATCAAATATTTACTTGACATCCACAAACTTCATGCCCTACAGTAAGAACAATGCATTATATCAAGGATTTTATACATAAAGGTTCAAACTAACGTTAAATCTGATGTGAACACATGAAAAAAAATCCTTTAAATTCAGTGATTGTTGTATATGTATATTTCTTTTCAGCAGAGTTTTTTATTCTAAAGCACAGATATTTTATTTTATATTTTTAAATTTTTTTCACTAGTTTACTTTCAAAATTCTAATACAAATTCAAAGTCTTTCAATTTTCCTCACCACCCCCCCATCAAATTGTATAACCCAATGATTAATCTCCTCTTCCCCCTGTACATCCACGTCTCTCTCCTTCCAGCCTCTACCAACCCTCTTGGATCCTTATACTCATTCTACTATGATGGTTTTATTTAGTATTTATCCTTGTGGGACTGAGTTAGTTCACTCAACATAATGCTCTCCAGTCCCTCTCAAGTTAGGTAATAACTTACAAATTTATAAGAACAATAACTCCAGAGTTTATTGCTTTATATTAATTAATAATATAAATGATGAATTTTACTATTTCACAAATATGATTTTGATAACCCTAAGAGTTCGGCTTTGTACCTCCTCTTCTAGGTATTTTTTCCCATATGTACCACACATTATAATGGGATGTTTTAATATTTTTGTTGTAGAATCAATTCTGATTCATGGAAACCCTCTATGATAAAGTAGAACTGCCCTACAGAATTTGCCAGTAACAGAATTATTCTATTCTAGGCTATAATCGCTATAGGAGCAGAAAACCAAGTCTTTTTTTTTTCTTTTTTCATGAAGAACCAATCAGTGGTGGGCTTACACCACTGTAAACCACTGGCACCTCTGTCCTCTGGAGAAGAATAAACACTGCATCAGGAAGGACTCTGGTGAATGTAAAATTCAAACACCTAATTCCATTTTCTTCCCACTGTCTTAAATTACCTGATACTGTCCATTCTCCAAATCTAGAGAAATAGTTATTCCTTGATTAAGCTGATCAATGTTTGTAAACACATGTGAAACCCATGAAGTGCCAATATCATTATCATTGATAAAAGAGAGAGGATGGGCTTCGGTGTTCAGCCTTGACACTCTATTCTCGGTGGTGCCTTCTGCATCATTGTGAATGCAGTAGGTCTGAGCCAAAGGTTGGATCCGAGGGTGGCTGCCAGGACAGCGGCAATGGGACTGGACATGCAGTCGGGGTAATTCACCAACAAACACTTCCAGAATCTCTCTGTAGGAGTCAAGAGAAAGATGGTAAGCACAAGTAATTCAACAGAGCTTGAGTTTCCAAGAGTTGTAGCAGTAGATATCATTATTTTGATAGTTCCGTAAGTATACATTTAACTTCATTCATTTTCTAAAGAGAACATGAAATCAAACTCATTCCTGGCTAAATATATTCTACTAAACCACTA